GATGTGAGGCAGCTGCAGACCTGTCCACGGTGTCAGTTCAGGAGGACCGGCAGGGATTTTCATAGGAGGGGTTGCGGGGTCAGTGAGTCGTAAGTCGTAGGGTTAGGATGTTTTATGATGTTCAGGGATGTTTAGGACATTTTATGACATTTTAAGTGTCAGGATTCCAGCATTTTCCAGTTTAGGCTTTGGAATATGTGTCATGTGATGTCATTTGACTGGAGCATGCCCGTGCCCCAGCATGCCCAAGCTATCAGAGGAGCAAACTGGTGCGGCCATGAAGACGGAAGATGAGGAACCTCGGATCCTAAAACTTCAGCTGGAGAGAAGTGGTGTTTTGCGATGTTTGGGCGGGTTTGTTCATGAAATTTCATGATCTGTTTAGATCCATGTCCAAACTCTACCCATCCCATGTGAGGCAGCTGCAGACCTGTCCAAGGTGTCAGTTCAGGAGGACCGGCAGGGATTTTCATAGGAGGGGTTGCGGGGTCAGTGAGTCGTGGGGTTAGGATGTTTTATGATGTTTTAGGTTGGTTCAGGGATGTTTAGGACATTTTAAGGTTCAGGATTCCAGCATTTTCCAGTTTAGGCTTTGGAAGATGTGTCATGTGATGTCATTTGCCTGGAGCATGCGTGCCCAAGCTATCAGAGGAGCAAACTGGCGCGGCCATGAAGACGGAAGATGAGGAACCGTGTTTTGCGATGTTTGGGCGGGTTTGTTCATGAAATTTCATGATCTGTTTAAATCCATGTCCAAACTCTACCCATCCCATGTGAGGCAGCTGCAGACCTGTCCAAGGTGTCAATTCAGGAGGACCGGCAGGGATTTTCATAGGAGGGGTTGCGGGGTCAGTGAGTCGTGGGGTTAGGATGTTTTATGATGTTTTAGGTTGGTTCAGGGATGTTTAGGACATTTTAAGGTTCAGGATTCCAGCATTTGCCAGTTTAGGCTTTGGAATATGTGTCATGTGATGTCATTTGCCTGGAGCATGCGTGCCCAAGCTATCAGAGGAGCAAACTGGCGCGGCCATGAAGACGGAAGATGAGGAACCGTGTTTTGCGATGTTTGGGCGGGTTTGTTCATGAAATTTCATGATCTGTTTAAATCCATGTCCAAACTCTACCCATCCCATGTGAGGCAGCTGCAGACCTGTCCAAGGTGTCAATTCAGGAGGACCGGCAGGGATTTTCATAGGAGGGGTTGCGGGGTCAGTGAGTCGTGGGGCTAGGATGTTTTATGATGTTTCAGGTTGGTTCAGGGATGTTTAGGACATTTTATGACATTTTAAGGTTCAGGATTCCAGCATTTTTCCAGTTTAGGCTTTGGAATATGTGTCATGCGATGTATTGTGATGTCATTTGACTGGAGCATGCCCGTGCCCCAGCATGCCCAAGCTATCAGAGGAGCAAACTGGTGTGGCCATGGAGACGGAAGATGAGGAACCTCGGATCCTAAAACTTCAGCTGGAGAGAAGTGGTGTTTTGCGATGTTTGGGCGGGTTTGTTCATGAAATTTCATGATCTGTTTATATCCATCTCCAAACTCTACCCATCCCATGTGAGATCATGTGAGGCAGCTGCAGACGTGTCCAAGGTGTCAGTTCAGGAGGACCGGCAGGGATTTTCATAGGAGGGGTTGCGGGGTCAGTGAGTCGTGGGGTTAGGATGTTTTATGATGTTTTAGGTTGGTTCAGGGATGTTTAGGACAACCTCGGATCCTAAAACTTCTGCTGGAGAGAAGTGGTGTTTTGCGATGTTTGGGCGGGTTTGTTCATGAAATTTCATGATCTGTTTAGATCCATGTCCAAACTCTACCCATCCCATGTGAGGCAGCTGCAGACCTGTCCAAGGTGTCAGTTCAGGAGGACCGGCAGGGATTTTCATAGGAGGGGTTGCGGGGTCAGCGAGTCGTGGGGCTAGGATGTTTTATGATGTTTCAGGTTGGTTCAGGGATGTTTAGGACATTTTATGACATTTTAAGGTTCAGGATTCCAGCATTTTTCCAGTTTAGGCTTTGGAATATGTGTCATGTGATGTATTGTGATGTCATTTGACTGGAGCATGCCCGTGCCCCAGCATGCCCAAGCTATCAGAGGAGCAAACTGGTGTGGCCATGGAGACGGAAGATGAGGAACCTCGGATCCTAAAACTTCAGCTGGAGAGAAGTGGTGTTTTGCGATGTTTGGGCGGGTTTGTTCATGAAATTTCATGATCTGTTTATATCCATCTCCAAACTCTACCCATCCCATGTGAGGCAGCTGCAGACCTGTCCAAGGTGTCAGTTCAGGAGGACCGGCAGGATCCGGCAGGGATTTTCATAGGAGGGGTTGCGGGGTCAGTGAGTCGTGGGGTTAGGATGTTTTATGATGTTTTAGGTTGGTCAGGGATGTTTAGGACATTTTAAGGTTCAGGATTCCAGCATTTGCCAGTTTAGGCTTTGGAATATGTGTCATGTGATGTCATTTGCCTGGAGCATGCGTGCCCAAGCTATCAGAGGAGCAAACTGGTGTGGCCATGGAGACGGAACCTCGGCTGTCTATATACGTCTGTCTCCCTGTCCCACTGTCATCCGCTCTCTCCCTCTCCACCCTCCCGCCTCATTTTCTGTCGAGATTTGCTTTGTTTTTTTTAGCGTGATTTTGCTTAATGCGCCACCCAAAAGCCTCCGACCACGCAGCAGTATTCGTGTGTCTTCTGGTGTATTAAGCAAAACCGCCAGCATCATGTTTGTCGGGTGCTGGAAATGTGATAGTTTCGTTTGGGTATTTTTGGGCGAGGGCTCAGCCCATTTTGGGGGGAGACTGCTGGCATGTGATGGCTTTTTGGAAGACTGAACTCCAAACCCTACAGACATTAGCCCCTAACATCCCCTAACACTTCTGCTGTTTGCCACACCCTAAAACATCTTAAACCCCAACTCTAAACTCCAAACCCAAACACCCTGAGCCTGCAGCCCTTGACGATCGACAGTGGGGGACCGAGCGCACATTTTGTGTGCCTAGTTGAAGACATGGCGGATTCTCCACCCGAGCCTGCAAGACCCTGCGCTCCTTGTTCTCATGGCGTGATATGGCGTGGTTCTTTGATTTTGTTCGGGGAGTGAAGGATTTCCTGCATAGTTTGTCGCGCGCAGTGTCCGCTGCAGGGTTCTAGATCTTGAATCAGCCGCCACGCCTGATCCCCCCTGGGGACACCGCTCCGGCCCTGGGCCAGGAGGCCCGTTCCGGGACATTCCCAGACCCGCCCCACTTCTCTTGGACTGGGTCCGCCCGACGGCCCTGGGACGCCCCCAGGAGGCCCGTTCCGGGACCCACCCCGCTCTTGAACTGGGTCCGTCCGACGGCCCTGGGAAGCCCCCAGGAGGCCCGTTCCGGGACCCACCCCGCCCGACCCCACCTGCCCCACCGCACGGTGCCGCAACATGGGGGGGGCCCCCTCAATTTCTGGTCTTGCCTGGCCTCCCTGCCCCTGGCCCCTCCCTGGCCCTCTGCCCCCCTGCCCCTTACCCTAAAAGGAATAGGTTTGGGTGGCCTTGCCGCCTTGGACAGCGTGGGGTGGGAGAAAAATGTTTTTTGGCCCTCCGCCATCGGGCCAATGCTGCTCTTCGCTCCTCACATCCGAAGCTTTCGAGCTTGTTCCGAAACCTAACCTTCACAGCATCTACGCCCTATGAGAGCAAGCTTGAAAGCCTAAGCCCTAAAACCCTAAACCCTGTAGACCCTAAACCCTGAACTCTATAAGCCCTAGACCCTAAATCCTACATCCCAAGACGAGGCGACCAGTGCTCTGGACTCCCAGAGTGAGCGCCTGGTACAGGCGGAGGGTTTAGTACGTGTTTGGGGTTTAGAGGTGTAGGGTTCTGGGGTTTTTGGTGCGGTTAGGGCTTTCGAGTCGCCCGCGAACGTGCAGTAGCACATAACCCTGAACCCTAAACCCTAAGCCCCAAACCCTAAGCCCCAAACCACAAGTAGCAACCCTATATGCCATAACTTCAAGAAGGAAGAAACCCTCTAAACCCTCTAAACCCTCTCAACCCTCTTAACCCTCTTAACCCTTGACGCTCAACCCGAAAGGGGTATTGTCCTAGGTGACAGCCCCAGCGAGAATGAGAAGCCCGCGGAGCAGGAGGACGAATGCAGGCCTAGTCTGGTGGTGGTAAGGGTTAGGGCGTATAGGGTTTGGGTTTACCAGAACCTTATTCAGGAATGTTTTTCAGGAGGTTTCTACGGCCAACCTAGAACCCTAAACCCTAAACCCTAAACCTAAACCCTAAAGCCCCCCCCCCCACACTAAACCCTAAAGCCCCTAACCATAAACCCTAAAGAAGCTTGAACCATCTTGAACCTTAGAGAAGCTTGCGGGGAAGGTTTTTCTTTTGGTTTCTGCCTGCCCGTCAGCCCCATCCCTGGCAAAAGGTCGGCACATGTCGGCACCAGCCAAGGCGCCCTGAAAGGGGGCGGGACACAGGGCTTAGGGCTTGGGGTTTAGGGTTTGGGGTGTGCACTTTTGATTTCTGAGGGCCTCTTCGCTTCACAAAGAGCCTTAGTAGCACCATCAACCTCCCTTGTACCCTTTAAAGGAGTACCCTATATCTATATCCCCTATATATACCCTTTAAAAGCAGTACCCTATATATCTTTCTATCTCTCTATATATACCCGCTAAAGCAGTACCCAATATCCCCCTATATATACCCTTTAAAGCAGTACCCTATATCTTCCCATATATACCTTCCCTGCATCTATCTGCAGTTCAGCGGCGAGGATCTGCTGCAGAGGTGATGGTTTAGGGTGTAGAGTCTAGGCTTGAAGGTTTCGGGTTCGGGATGGTTCGGGCTTAGGTGTAAGTTTTGAAGCTCAGCACCGCGAGTTTACAGTTATAGCCTTTGGAAGTTTAGCGCTTAAGCCCTCGCGCCCTGAAGCCGGGAAAACTTCGCACATTTTCGCACGGCCATACAGCTATACACGGCTGCTTTCTCTTCGGAGCCTCTGGCTTGTGTGATGGAGACTGTTCTGCACACCTTGGCGAACATCTTCGTGTTCGTCATCAACCTGGAGCGGCAGAAGCAGCGGAGGAAGACCACCCTCGAGCTCCTCCGGGCTTGCGGCTTTTCCGCTGCCCAAACGAAAGTTTTTCCTGCAGTCGACGGCAGAGTTTTGCATCGGTCCGGCGGGAGGGTGAGGAAATGCGGGAAGCACTGGAGAATTTCATACGATGAGACATTTGGCTAAGAGCATGGGAGATGTTTAATCTCATTTGCTGCGTTGTTTCCGTTTCGTTTGCTTGCCAGTTTTGTACTTGCAGTTTCTTGGTACTTAAGTGGATAGGACGACGTCTTCCCGTGTCACCGACAGACTCCGGGTGTCGGACCTTTCCTTGCCGGGGGCTATAGATCTCTGGGGGCAGTATGGGTGCAAAAAGTCCCACGAGGCTGTTCTCAAATTGGTCCGGGAGCGACTCAGCAGGGAAAAGATGATGTTGGTAGTGGAGGATGACATCCTGGTGAACAAGACTCATGGAGGGCCCAAGGACTTTATGCCTGCGCTGGCAGCATTTGTCGAGCAACTCAACGAGAAACATCCGCAATGGGTTTACTTGCTACTGGGTGGTCGTGCAGTGTTTGGCAACGACGGGCGGAACGGCAAGACCACCATCCCAGGGATTTCCAAGGCTGGGTATGTTCTGCAAGCCCATGCCGGGCTGTGGCGGCAGACAGACAGGTCCGATGAGTTCCTGGGGTTTGTGCTGTCGCTACTTTGATGACAATGGGAGTGCTTTAAGCTTTGTTACCGTAGGCCATCGTAGGCCGGCTTAAGTCGTAATGTCAACCCCTCAATGATAAACCCCGCCATACCCCGCCCATCCCCGCCCCCCCTCCCCCCCCGATCCATTGATTCTAGCCACCCTTTACTCAAGGCATCACATGGCATCACCATGCATCACCCCCAATTGTCCATTGTGGATGGCAGTGTATGGCAGTACTTGGTGTTTGCGCTGTTTTGCACTTGTTCATTGAATCAAAGTTTATGTTCATTGACGTGTGGCAGTGCATGGAGAATGGGGCTTTGTGCGCCAATGGCTAGAAGCTGGAAAGTTACCGAAGCATACCGAAGCGACACCTTCAGACATGAGGCACAAATATATGATGCGAAATCCCTGCAAAGCGAGGGGAACACTTGAAAGGCGACACTCCCCCATTTTGCGTCCATTGGCACAACCAGGGGTTTGGCAACTGCATGCAACTGCCATCAACCGCCTAGGGTTTGGGAGGGAAATGTTGGGCGGGCTTGTTGGAGGGTGGTCGACGGCTTGGAATGGAAGGGTCGAGGTGGGTTCTTCTCATGCCCTGGCCATGTGACCGGCGGATGTTCGTGGAAACTTGGTTGTTTACTTCTCGGTGTTGGTCCCGTACGACACTTCGTCTCGGCCGCCTTGGCAGGGGAGGGACTGGGGGGGGGGGGGGGCTTAAGGGGGGGGGGGGGACTGATTTGCAAGGTGTCTTTAACCAACTTCCCCAGCATGCCCAGTGTGCAGAAGTGTGAAACAATGAGCACTTTTTTAAACCCTTCTCATTTAATTTGGACGACAGAGATCGACAGAGGCAAATGGAGTTGGGTTTCAACAACGACAATGCTGTCGCATCTGCGATGTCCCGCTTTCCAGGCTTGAGCTTCTTCTTGCAGCCATCTCTTTTGTGCCAGAACACAAAGTTAGAGTCCAACCTGCAGATTCTATCCTCTTCTGGAGGTCAAATTGGATATGACAATGCTCGACGAATGGCGACAGGGCTCTCCAGAAAGACCATTTCGAAGATCACAGAGAAGAAGGTCCCACAGTCCTCAAACCAGCGGCCGGTGAATAAGACAGGGCTGAAGAAGGCCCGGGCCGCAATTGCTGCCAAGGGTGGGTCGTGCAAGGCAGGCAACGGCTCCAACAAGAAGGCCATCGAGAAAAAAATTAGATGCTTGAAGGCCTTCGTCAAGCAACACCAGACCTTTCCGACACGAAACATTGCCCTGTCCAGGTGGGGGATGAGCAAGTCTGTTTGGGAACGTGCTCGGGCGGAACATTTCGATGGATGACAAGGGGCCCTGCGCACCTGACATTTCGAGCCTTCCGGCGGCTTCGACCATCATCTTTGACCGCTCCCAGGTAATAGCCAGCAGGCGGCGAAGGATGTGAGACAAGTTTTCCTTACAAACGTTGTCAAGTCTCCAATGTCTGGCAGGAGAGATCCAGAGCTATAATATATCACTTCCCTAAACCCTCAAGCCGAAACCCTACTGTTAACTCTGCTGAGGCTTTAGGGCTCCAGATTAGCGCAAAATCTCCTGCAGAGGCTTTAGGGCTCCAGATTAGCAAGAACTTTTTCTGTGCTGAGGCTTGGGGGCTCCAGATCAGCAAAACTTTTCCTCTGCTGAGGCTTTAGGGCTCCAGAATAGCAAAAGCTTTTACTCTGCTGAGGCTGTTAGGGCTCCAGATTAGCCGCGAATTCTCCTCTGCTGAGGCTTGAGGATGCTTTAAGGCTCCAGATGGGTGTCAGGTTTCTTACTTCAGGGGTCTTTTTAATCAATGCCCTAAAACCCCAAACTCCAAACCTCAAACCCTAAACCTAAACCCCTCCAAGCTCTCCATGCCAGCATATGCCAGCCAAGCGAGCTCTGCCCCTGAAAGGGGCCAGTGGGGTGAACCTCCCTCAACCCTCAGTGCGCCAAGGGGGCCCCTGGAGAATCCAGATGCCTTCGATGTGTAAAGCGCGTTGCGGAGTATTTGCGGCGGTGAAAACCATTCCCATATTGGATTTAAGAGGACCTCTTTTAGGAATGTTGTTCAGAGGGTCTAATGGGCCAACCTAGGATTCATAGAGGCCCTCCCCCCCAAGCCCCAAACCCTACGCCCGAGCCCTACAGTTCCATTTCTGGAATGTCTGTAGCCGATCATGTCGGGCACAGGGCTCGAGCCCCTTAAAGCCATGGGCCCCGAACCCTTAAAACCTAAGCTCCCTCAACCCTACAACACCCCAAACCCCCTACTGTAAACCCTAATAAACTCCCTCAACGCTAAATTCGGGCTAAGGGTTATAAGTTATAAGGTTTAGGGTTTAGAAGATTACGGGCCAAGGGTTATAAGGTTATAAGATGTTATAAGGTTTAGGGTTTAGGGGTTCAGAGTTTCGTTTAGGGTTTAGGGTTACGGTTTAGGGCTTAGGGCTTTCGCGCTTTTAGAGCATGGGTTGAGGGAGTAGGAGCCCTAAACCCTTAACCCTAAACTGTAAACCCTGAACCTCAAAGCCTAAGCCCTAAACCCCAAACCCCAAACCCTAAACCCTAAACCATGAGCAGGAAAACCGAATGCCCTCAGCAAAAGGTTTTAGGCTTCTGCCGCCCCGTGAGCAGGATTCCTACAAGATCTGGGCTTTTAAGGGATATAGTCTGTCGGGGTTTAGTTGTTTTTTTTTTGATTTTTGGTTTGGGCTTTGCCATTTTGAAGTTCAGGGTTTTGCCTAAACCCTAAACCCTGGAAACCCTAGCAACCCTGGAAACCCTAAACCTCAAACCCGAAACTCTAAACCTTAAACCCTAAACCCTGAACCCAAAACCGCAAGATGGCCTTGTCGCGGAAAGCTCTCCTCCCTTGGAGGCTTGCGGGCGAGTCCGTCCTCCCCGCCACAGATGATTCCGTGCTGTGCCTGCGCCTGACGTCCTGTGGCCAAGGGTACTTAGGGCATAGGTTTCAGGGGTTTATGAAATCCTAAGCCCTGACTCCTGCACCCTACATCCTAAACCCTAATCCCTAAACCCCTTAAACCCCCAAGCCTAAACTGTTGATGCGATTGACTGAAAAGCATGCATATTGCAAGGCCCCCTTTGTGTCGAGGGCCCATGCATCTTTTCAGCACTCTAAGACCATCTCTAGGGGATTTGGGGGCCCTATAAACAGAATAAAACTATGGGTTATTCAGGGTATATAACATATAGGGTTTAGGGTTTAGGGTTCAGTTCGTCACTGTACCTGCTGCTGTGAACGGTTGCATCATCGCCTAGAATCAGCTTGGCCTGGTCCAGGCCCGAAGGCTGAAGGCTTCAAGCAGGGCCCACTGAGTGGGGCGAACCTCCCCACGGCATCCCACAGCGCCCCCTAATTCCGGAACCTCACTTAAAACTCTAAACCCAAGCTCAGGCCCCAAGCCCCAAGCCCTAAACCCTAGGCGCCGCCTCGGCACCTGCCTCCTCGCAGCAGCCCGCCCACAAGCCAGCCGCCCGGCTCTCCAAGGGGTTGAGAGTTGCGGGTTTCGGGTTCTAGGATTCTTTCGGGGCCATGGAGAGTCGCGGGCTCAGGCCTAAATAGGCGCCTGTCCCCAAGTTCCTGGCACAGCAAGGGCTCAGGAGGGGAGTCGGGGGTTTCTGAGCCCTATCTAACCTACTTCTCCACTGCCGAAGAAATTGATATGGACTGAGATCTTAGATGGCCGCTATCGACAATGACTGCCTCCCTGAAGGATGCCGACTCACAACTCCGCTGTGCCACAGCGACTGGAGGCGCCCCACAGCTCCTCCAAGCTCCCCGCAGCAGCAGCAGGCAGGTGATGCAGGAACAAAGGTATGATAGGAAGCCGGACTAAATCCAAAGAACTTAACACTGCTAACCTGCACCCTAAACCGTCTCAGCTGTGAGCTGGGCGAGGAATGGCGAGGATGTAGCAATAGGCAGAGTCCGAGCCCAACTTCTTCTGTGCCTGGGCACTTGCAACCCTTAACCCTGGAACCGAAACCCCAAGTCCTGAACCCCAAGCCCTGCGTGATCCTATGTGTTTCCGGGTGGGTGGGGAAACTCCAAAAGCGTGGCAAGGCTACGAGGGGCTCGAGTCTAAGGGGCGAGGAAGAGGCATTGCTAAATCTTACTAGCAAACACAGGGGACAAGACAAACCAGTAAATGTAATAAGGGTTACTTTCTGTGCTTTCACAAATTTCACAGCCTTCACACACCTGCAGCACGTGACACTTTTGTTGCCATGCCCTGGCTGTGCTTGAAAAAATGCGGTGCCCGGACTTACCGACGAGATCGGGTGTGCGTCAACTGCAGGGAATGCCGCCGTGGGGCCCATAATCGAAAGATCCCTGCTTGTCGTGTCCGGACGAAAACCTCACCTGATCTTGTGCGGAAGTACCGCTATGGATGCCAAAAATCAACTGGCTCAGTCGCGGCTGCAGGATCTGTGGATCACAATTGTGTCAGTGGGCTTGCAGAGGCAAAGAACCACGACAGTCAGGAATGGCAGGAGCAGGTGGATGCAGAGTACAAGCTGTTGTGTCACCTGGCAGGACGAGCAGGGGCTCACAGTGTCCTGGCCCAAGCACATGCCCTTGTGCAAGCTATAAGCAGCAGTGGCACTGTCTTGCCAGCGCTCAACAACGACTCTATTTGCGCTTTGGTGGCCTATGGCTTCGTGCAGTCCGTCTGTTTGTCAGACCCAGAAGTTTATGAGGCCCGCTTCATCGCTGCCAAAAAAGCTCAGCGGCACAATGTCATTCGCTACAAGTGCATTTTTGTCAATGCTTTGAATGATTGCACCGGTCCCATACTTGGTCATTGAATAGCTCAACATCTTGAAACGACAGGGTTTGGGTTAGTACTGGGGGCCGTCACAGCAGTGCATACCGCCTGCTGCGACCATCTGCGACCCTGCTTGCAGTCATGGCCGGGCCGGGCCGACATGCTGGCTGTAGCACTTTCGCCCCATCACCCCAACCCAAAGTGCACATGTTCCAGGTGCAGTTCATGGGCCTCAGGTTCTGACCCCAAACCCGAAGCTGCAGCCAAGAAACTAGAAGAAACCACCAGAGTTCCAGCGTGTCTGTCTGCCGTGTTTTGCCGTGCCGCCGCCCTCAGGGCAAAAAGACGGTGTGGGCGCGCGGTGCTTCCAAGTGTGTGGAGTGCCAAGCACATCATAGCACATCCAAGATCACCCGGGCGCAGGACTTGCGGTTGATTGATTTCGAAGAAAACATTGAACCTCAACATTCAGACTGTGGCCCTGATGTGAACATATGTGAACTTGGAATTGCCGATGTGGCAGGCAGGGGCTGCCATGCAGCATCGTGCAGCTATCATCAGCTACCCCGTACATTCCCTTTCTTGGCAGTGCAGACCATTGCAGACCGCATTTTTTCCGGTAGTCGTGAAACATCTTGAAACTTGAAACGAAAGGGTTTGGGTTAGTACTGGGGGCCGTCGCAGCAGTGCATACCGCCTGCTGCGACCATCTGCGACCCTGCTTGCAGTCATGGCCGGGCCGTGCCGACATGTGCCGACGTGCTGGCTGTAGCACTTTCGCTCCATCACCCCAACCCTACGTGCACATGTTCCAGGTGCAGTTCTTGGGCCTCAGGTTCTGACCCCAAACCCGAAGCTGCAGCCAAGAAACTAGAAGAAACTGCCAGAAACTACCGGAGCTCCAGCATGTCATAGCATGTCTGCAGGCCGCGTCATGTCGCATTGTCGCGCTGGGGAAAAGATTAGCGGGGAGAAATATCTGAGCCGAGTGTCTGACATTGGGAAGTTCTCAGCTGCATTTCTCCATTGAAGCATGCCCTCGCAAAGATGGGCTGTCAGGCTTGCAGCGGGCAGCAGCAGGTTGCCGAAACACTGTCCCAGGCATCGAAGACATCATGGCGCAGCAAGCCTGGTTACTGCTACAATATGCTACATCATGTTACATTGTGTTACTTTTGCTGCTGTGTGCGCACTGTCTGATTTGTCCACGAGGTTTAATCCGCAACTGGTTGCGATTTGGACCGTGTACCGAAAACTGGGAAAATTCAATCTTGAAAGGTGATGAAAAGTGTATGGCCCAGCATGGCCCAAGCTGATGAGGTCCAGTCTTTTTGGCTTCTAAGATACTCTAAGGCTAGGACAATCTGGTACACTGTTCATCCGCAGCTGGTTGTGAATTGAACCTTGTGCACAAATCTGGCAAGAGCTTCAAACCGTCTGATTTGTGCACAAGGTTCAATCCGCAACTGGTTGCGATGTGAACCGTGTACCTTCGTGTACCGCAAACAGAGAAAATTTCATCTTGCAAGGTGATGAAAAGTGTATGGCCCAGCATGGCCCAAGCTGATGAGGCCCAGCCTTTTTGGCTTCTAAGATATTCTAAGACTAGGACAATCTGGGACACTGTTCATCCGCAGCTGGTTGTGAATTGAACCTTGTGCACAAATCTGGCAAGAGCTTCAAACCGTCTGATTTGTGCACAAGGTTCAATCCGCAACTGGTTGCGATGTGAACCGTGTACCATCGTGCACCGAAAACAGAGAAAAATTCATCTTGAAAGGTGATGAAAAGTGTATGGCCCAGCATGGCCCAAGCTGATGAGGCCCAGCCTTTTTGGCTTCTAAGATATTCTAAGACTAGGACAATCTGGGACACTGTTCATCCGCAGCTGGTTGTGAATTGAACCTTGTGCACAAATCTGGCAAGAGCTTCAAACCGTCTGATTTGTGCACAAGGTTCAATCCGCAACTGGTTGCGATGTGAACCGTGTACCATCGTGTACCGAAAACAGAGAAAATTTCATCTTGAAAGGTGATGAAAAGTGTATGGCCCAGCATGGCCCAAGCTGATGAGGCCCAGCCTTTTTGGCTTCTAAGATATTCTAAGACAAGGACAATCTGGGACACTGTTCATCCGCAGCTGGTTGTGAATTGAACCTTGTGCACAAATCTGGCAAGAGCTTCAAACCGTCTGATTTGTGCACAAGGTTCAATCCGCAACCGGTTGCGATGTGAACCGTGTACTATCGTGTACCGAAAACAGAGAAAATTTCATCTTGCAAGGTGATGAAAAGTGTATGGCCCAGCATGGCCCAAGCTGATGAGGTCCAGCCTTTTTGGCTTCTAAGATACTCTAAGACTAGGACAATCTGGGACACTGGTCATCCGCAGCTGGTTGTGAATTGAACCTTGTGCACAAATCTGGCAAGAGCTTCAAACCGTCTGATTTGTGCACAAGGTTCAATCCGCAACTGGTTGCGATGTGAACCGTGTACCATCGTGTACCGAAAACAGAGAAAATTTCATCTTGAAAGGTGATGAAAAGTGTATGGCCCAGCATGGCCCAAGCTGATGAGGCCCAGCCTTTTTGGCTTCTAAGATATTCTAAGACAAGGACAATCTGGGACAGTGTTCATCCGCAGCTGGTTGTGACGCGTTGTGACTTGAACCTTGTGCAGAAATTGGCAAGAGCTTCTAACCGCCTGATTTGTGCACAAGGTTCAATCCGCAACTGGTTGCAATTTGAACCGTGTACCATCGTGTACCGAAAACAGAGAAAATTTCATCTTGAAAGGCGCGCAGAGTGGACTTGTCCAGCAGAGTGTGTTTCATGTTGTGTGTATTCTTGATTTTGGGTGCATTTATTCCAAAATCACGTTTTATGGGTCTTTGCATAAACAGGGGTGGTGGTTTTGCTTAATGCACCACCTAAAATGCTTGAAGATTGCGGGGGGTCCGCGCATGTTCAAGCTGGTTTTGCTTAATGCACCACCTAAAATGCTTGAAGATTGCGGGGGGTCCGCGCATGTTCAAGCTTGCTGGCAGCAGAGAAAATTTTGTTGAAAAGTGTATGGCCCAGCATGGCCCAAGCTGATGAGATCCAGCCTTTTTGGCTTCCAAGATACTCTAATGCAGCTGGGCCCAATTGAACTTAGGGGCCTCCGACGCAAGAGGCATCAGAGTTGCAGGCCGACAGTCCCCAACCCCGCCCAGATTTTATTGCTGTAGGGTGCAGCGCGGGCTCCAGTAAGCCTGGTTACTTGCTAGCCTATAGGGCCTATAGCCTATAGGGCCTATAGGCTATAGGCTACAGGTATAGGCTATAGACTATAGGCTATAGGGCCTGTAGGGCTCCAGTTTTGCTAGGGTTTAGGCCTTGGGCCTTGGTTTAGGTAGCATCACAATGCCGCAGGCGCCAATGCAAGAAGTATCCGATTCGAAAGCCCCCGCCGAAGTTCCCACAGATTTCCTGACATCTGCGACTGCGACCCAGGCCAGTTGCAATGTGCAGGTGTCGGTGGTGTAGGTGCTCATCGTCACTCACGTTCTTGTGCGAAGTTGGACTGTGTAGTAGGCATCTCTTTGGGCCTTGGTTTTGGTACCATCACGATGCCGCAGGCACCTGTGCAAGAAGGACCCGATTCGAAAGCCCCCGCCGAAGTTCCAACAGATCTCTCGACATCTGCGACTGCGACCCAGGCCAGTTGCAATGTGCAGGTGTAGGCAGTGTATAGGTGCTCCTCATCACTCACGTTCTCGTGCGAAGTTGAACTGTGTAGTAGGCGCCTCCTCCTAGCCTATAGGCTATAGGGCTCCAGTTCTCCTAGGGTTTAGGCCTCGGCGACCTCGGGCCTTGGTTTAGGTATCATCACCGAAGTTCCCGCGTAAATTTCGTGAGCTCTTTTGCCTGTCGGAAACAGGGTTTTGAGGTTTGTGTCGTGCTGGTTTAACGGTGCAAGCGGTGTACAAAACTGAGTTGGGTGAGTCAGGTGCTTCCAGTTCCCATCCCCTCGCCCTAAACCCTAAAGCATCCTAAAGCCTAAACCCTAACAGATGTTTTTTTTCTCTTGCCGAATTTTTTTGCCGCCGCCAACGCAGCCGCTGCAGACCGTATAGCAGCCACCCACGTAATCTTGTCCGCCATGTCAAATGCAACAGGGGCTGCTGACGACCGTGGCGAGCGGCTGGCTGATGATGATGTTGATACTACGACGTTGTGCCTTGGCGAGGTTGGCGAGCTTGGCGCCAAGAAGGGCCCCCCCCAAAAAAAAAAACTCTACGGCCTCAGCGGCCTCTGCGGCAAAAAAGAGACCAGCGGCTAGCAAGAAGACCCAGAAGAAGCCAGCAGCAGCAGCTGTTGTCAAAACCGTCTTCAAGAAGCCGACAACCAATGAAGATGTACGCTGCAGCCCCGGGCCTTGCTTTCTTTCGGATCTTGATTCCGAGGAGGATTTGTTTTCCAATCAGTCGAAGGACTGATGCAGATGGGCTGCAAAAACATTGCTGGTCTGCCTGATCTGCTGCCTGTTTATGCCTATGTTTGGATGATTTGTGCATGTTGCCTTGATTCGTTGAAGGCCTCCAGTTTTGAAGATGTACGTTCCTGTTGACTTGCCGGAATCTCCTTGTCATGGCCCAAGCGCAGCAGAAAGCCAAAACTTGCCAATCCTGCTGATGGCTGGGATGGAGGCCTTCTGATTTTGATTCTCTTTCATCTGACAGACCCGATTGAGCCACCTAACCCTTCAAGCCCTGCACCTGAAGGCCTTAGCCCTAAAGCCAAAGTCTGCCAGGGAGACGGTGACGGTTCCCGTTCGCCCCCCCCGCTGGCAGACGAGGACCTGTTGTCTCAGAAAGCATCTGTGTGTGGCTAGAGTCCATTGGCCTGGAGATAGCTTAAGATGAAATGAAGGCTGCCTGGATCCAGTTATCCGGTTTAACTACGGAGAAAAGGCTTCCCCTTTCAGGCTTTGAAAGTTTCTTTCACTCAAGTACACTGGACAAATGACAGAAAACGTGGTTTGGTTATGTGAGAGCTTTATACAGCTTTCCAATTCCAGACCAGTTTAGACCAGTGAAAGTCCAGTGGGTGCTTCAGTGACGTTTGATCTCCATTTTTGAGGCCAAAAAGTTTTGGCTTAAGTCCGGCGGACTTAAGCCAAAAGACGTGCCGCACGTATGTTTGCCAGCCAGTTTGATGGTGATATGTCTAGCAAATTGATGCCCCCCATGGACGTGCGGCACCTCTGGAGGCTTAAGTCCGCCGGACTTAAGCCAAAACTTTTTCGCCAACAAAAAGACACAATTGCCGTGGGGGTGTAAGTCCAATAGACTTAAGCCCCAGAAATCAACCGCTCCTCTCCCCTTGTTTTCTGCAAGAGCGGCCCAATCAGATTGACCGCAGGGCGCTCTGGATGCCCAGACGGAGACACCCTCATACGATCCTTTACTGGCCTATGCCTTGGCGAATCCGGGGACAATCCTTGCTACACTGGAGAACCCTGATGCTGGCTTCAAGGAGTGGCTGACCGAGCTGGTCGGATTCTTGCAAGCAAAGGATATCAAAGGCTTGCAATTTCAAGAGTACAAGTTTCATTTATTCACTTATTCATTTTTCGTGTCTGCGCAAACAAGGTTCCGATTGCCAGGGTAAGCTTCCAGATCCTGGTCACGATGGCTCGGTCCATATCCTGGCATTGCCAAGCTCTGCATCGAATCATGTGGGTCACAGGAGCGTCTCTGTGGCTGCCATGTGTGGGATGCCTGATTTTCTTTCTGAGCATGTCTGAGCTGACTGTCCACAACTCACTCGTGAGGATTTGAGCTTAGAAGTTGAGCAATTGGTTTGTTTCTGGAGGTGAAAAGATGATGAACTTCAATGCTGCCCAGGGGTTCCGCAGCTGGGATGTGGTGCAGTTGGCTAGAATCGAGAACGGCAACCTCGGCATCATCAAGGGCCACATCCGAGTGACTGCCTTGTGGATGAGTGCGCTGGTGCACTACTTGTGCAAGACCACAGCCTCCGGTCCTGAAGTCACACAGTGACAGTCACTAACGATTGCCCCATTCTTCATGAAATACAGTCAGTGAGTGACAGTGGCTTAGGTGCCTGCTTTCCTCGTGACCATGCTGCAGGCCGTCCCCGTGTCAATGAAGCAGCCAATGTCCTTTGGGCAGATTTGTGCCCAAGGCCTGGGACAGAGCCTTGCCCTCTCACAAGCCTCAACAGTCAGCTGGATCGAGGTTTTGAAGTTGGCCAAATCCAAACACTTCGAGAACATCAGCAATTTGCAGTCCGAGATCCGCCAGTCCTTTGCTGAAACGGAGAAAGCGTTCGACTGGGGATCACTTTCCAAGTTTTGGCGGAAGATTCCTCTGAAAGGAGTTGAACGGCTTGACTCCTGGGCGCAAGAGCACAACATGGTGGAGGCGCCAGTCCCCATGACATGGTTTCGTGACCCGTGCCTCGACGAACCACTTCCTGCAAGTGAGTTTTGCGACATGCAAGAACAAGGTTCATGCTCTTAAAAGACCCTGTGCCAAATCTCGGAGTATCTCACCTTGAACCCTGAACACATTCTCAGGCGATTTACGCTCAAGGGAGAGCGCAGCCGGTCTGAAAACATCGAGACAGAGGAAGAATGGATCCTCATGGTCAGTCGCTGGTGGCTCGGCCACACGATGCCACATGAGAAGAATCACATGCTGGTGGTATCTGCTGGTTAAGATAAACGTATGAGTGGGTTATAATGGGTTTGGCCGTTTCCCTCAGGTGCATTCTATGTTTCCAGCCCAGTTTCTTACTGCATTGTGCAACGTTATACACTTCCAGGCTCAGTGAGCTCAAGAAGTTGGCCGTGGAGAAGGGCCTCATGCTCACCAACAAAAAGCATCTTTACACCCTCCAACGGGCAGATGGGTTGAACCTAGAAGCTCGCCTGCGCATGCGAGCTGTGGCTATCAAATTTCTGAAAGGAATGGCAACCGTCCACCAGGCCTATCCCACTGTGGACTTCTCAAGCCTAACGCTATCCCTTCAGTCCGGGAAGTTGGACGCCATTGTCTACAACACAGCATTGCCAGTGTGTGGCAAGTCATGGAGCTTTGTCCGAGCCCAGGTCAGTGAACATGAAGCCAGTGAGAAGAGCAAGGCAAAAGCCATGGCCGAAGTAGAGCTCCAACAAGCAGTTGAGACGATGGGTAAGGCAGATCAATTGGCTGAGGACAAGCAGTGGAAGGCCGCTGTGAGCCTCTACACTGCCAGTCTGCGAGCCAACCATGCTACTTGCGTGGAAGTGGTTTCAAGGCACGAAGCCAAGCTGGCCCGAGTCCTCCAAGAGAAGCAGCAGAAGCTAGCCCAGGCCAGGGCCAATGCAATTGGCAGGGCGGTTGCGGCAGTGCCCTTTACAAAGTTGGCCGAGACCCTTCTGTCAAAGCGCCGTGACCAGCCAGTCCTGATCTTGTGCGACATGCAGACCATGCCTGAAGAGGTCTTGACTGATTGTTGCCGGCTGTGTGAGCCAGCAGGAGCTGTGGACAACCATGTGCACAAAGAAACCTTAAACCCTAAAAGTATCCAGTGTGGGCAAAAACTACAGTGTTGAAGCTGATTCAGTGTGAAGGAGCTGTGCTGATCATCTTGCCCGGGCTATTCAAGGCTAATGCCATGGAGACCCATATGGCTGGCACCCTGAAGGAGACAGGCAACACGCGGGTGCACTTGGGCATCCTGTCACAGGGACAGTGGTCATCTGCCAGCCTCTTGTTTTCCCATGCCACAGCAGACGCAGCTAGGGCAGCCAGTCCATTGCTCAAGGCCATCATGGACAGCCAAGCTCTGGCCAGAGGCAGCCTGACCCTCGATCAGGACCCTGTGCGTCGATTTCATCAAACCCTTGCGCAGCTCGGCGTAGACCACCTCTGTCACGAGTCGGCACTGGTCCTTTATGAGCCACAGTCTTCGGAGACACTTCTGGGGACAGTCCTGGGCAAGATCCCCATGGTTGTCGTCACCGAGAACAAGTCAACCCAGACGGCACTTGCAACAATGGAAGCTGACTACATCCAGCGGCAGTCCAGCCTCAACAAAACCAAGAGTGAGGCAACAATTGCCTTTGAGGAAGTTATTGCCGAATTCCCGGCCATGCCTGCTGTGCCCAAAGTTTTGGACAGCCTACGGGCGTGCAGTGGCAAGGTGGCATATGACCCTTGTATACTGCTGGAGCCAGTCATGAATGTCAGGCCGGATGTGAGGCCACTCCCTGTGCCAGACATTGAGCCCATGGCGATTCAGCTGGTTCGCCAGTTCAAGTCTGTGTTCGTGGCTGAATCCATCATGGTGCCAGGCCAGGCAGAAATTTGTGTCGAAATGTTTTGGCTTCATGATTGTGCGTGGGGCACCTATGTCTGCACTGTTGCAAATAAGCTCCTGAGCACCTATGTAGCCATGTAGAGTTGAGTGTTTCGAGCTAGCGGTCAGTCCATTGAAAATTGTGGTGAGGCGAGCATGGACTGTTTGCAATGGTGGACTTTAACCCGGGAGATGTGGTCTTGGTCCCACAGCAGAACTGGCAGGTGCATGACTCCTTCGCCGATGCCAGTGATGACAGTGCTACTCCACAGTTTCCGGTCTTGGTTGTACCAGTTGTGGATGGCTTGGGCCGCAGCCGAAGATTTGCCTTGAAGGCAACAGGGACGGATCTGTGGCGGTTCATAAATTCATCGGTCTCCGAGGACGGTTACCCCGCAGTTCCCAGCAATGTGCAAGCAATTTTTCCGTCAGGTCCAACCGATGTCCCAGCGCCTGGAATCTTCATGAAGCTGGTGGCCACAGCTCCTATCGCGTGTGGTCAGGAGATCCTGTGGCACTACCAGCTGAGCGCCTCACATCATGCCAAACCGGAGATTGTCAACATCAAGTATTTCTATGATGTGCGCAGCGCCGGTACCAAGATTGCTGCAAGAGGCAAAGCTGGGGCAAAGAAACCGGTTTGCAGTTCCAAGGCCCCTGCCAAACCACAGGCAGAAGTCCAGGCAGCGGTAGTAGCAGAGGTGTCTGCCAAGGCCCTTGCCAAACCACAGCCTGCTGCTACAGAATTCCAGGCAACGCGAGTAGCAGAGCTGTTCGTCAAGGCCCCTGCCAAGCCCCTTGCCAACACAGACCCCGAGAAGCAGGCCAGTGTGACCGATGACTGCGATGAGGGTTCAGATCCTGAATTGATGGCACTCCTGGACAAAATAGCGGACGAACCATGTGAGAAGCTCAACGAGGGGGAGGAGGAGGACACCAGGGGTGACATGGATGAGGACACCAAGGGTAACATGGATCAGGACACCGCCGTGGTGCCATATGACGGCAAAGGCACAGTCCTGAATGAGTCAGCAGATTGGCAGGTTGTCCTGGGCGCGGAGAACTCCTCCCTGCGCATCTTCACAAAGACGAAGACGAGGCGCATGCCCAAGAACACCATCTTCCTCACCTTCGATGCCGCAAAAGGAACCTTCCACACGGAGGCTGCTAGCGATGACCGGGGTGCATGGATGGAAGCCAGCAAATCTGCCACAGTGTTCTTCAAGAAAGAGATCGTCAAGATGAAGGTGAGAACCATCAACCATCATCAACCCAAATCTTACAAGAAAGTCTCCACCTAAATTCAACACAAGACACTCTTGGCCAAGCCCACAACCACAAGACGTGACAAGATTTGCCCTTTAATTTAGAATCGAAGCCTCAAAATGCCCCAAAGATCCCCAAAGTTCCAGCCCAGAGCCTCAACCCTACACCCTAAAGGAAAAACAAGCTGCAGCTCCCTTTTCCAAGGTTGTGGGCAGCAACTTGAACATCCAGCGAATCACTCATATGGACTACAACGATGGCCGCTTCCCCAAATCTGGCAAGTCTGGGCTTGGCTGGACTCCCGGGCCAGAAGTTGCTTAGCCAATGCTTAGCATATCCTGTAGCAATATGTAGAAATGTAGATGATCCTTAAACAACATAGGATTCCAGTTACAGACTGGTGAAACTGGCAGCGACTGGCACTGCGCCCGTGACAGGCTTTCAGTTCAGCCCCTTGGATCTGAGGTGAAGGCTGTGTTCGACCTCGCAACGAACCTCCCATCGACGCCCTTGACAGCAATCTTCGAATTTGAGGCAGTGAAGCTGACACCTGCGGAGGAGATGGCGGCCAAGAAACGAAAGATGCAGGATGGGTATAGATTGAATCCAATCAAGGTGCATCTGCTGTGCGAGAAATGCTTTATCTGCTCACCGAAGCAAACATGATGAGTCTCACAAAAGCTGAGTGCAAAAGCACAGCGCAAGGCAGTGTGCAAGTCCCAGGATGTCCCAGGTATCCAGCAAGAACAATATGTGCCTTTCTCATCTGGTGTTGTTTGTGTGGGGCAGAGCAGGGCCTGGGCTGCATTGCTTTGCATTTTGAGGTGCTAGATGGATTGGTTGCTTGGCAGGGCAAGTCCCATGCAAGCAGCACGCCGCAGAAGGCGGCAGAGATCCGCAGAGCAGTTTTGCAAGTTCCTCGGAAAACAGGAAAGAAGAAGATAGAAGAAGTGTGCCTTGTATCATTTTGCATCACCTGGGGGATTCCTGGGGCCTGGGACGCAGCACTCTGCTTCTTTGTGCGTGTGGGCTGGCCAAAACGTACCATGATGTACCATGCTGGCTGCTGGTGCATTAAGCAAAACTTTGAGCCTGAAGTTTTTCACATATCTTTGGATGATTTGTGCATGTTGCCTTCATTCGTTTAAGGCTTCAAGTTTTGTGTTTACAATGATGAAATTTGACAGGCATTCCACCCCGCACCAGCCCCAAAGGATGCCAAAGGTTGTTGTCTTGTGATGTCTGATGTTCACACTACACATATATCATCAAAGATCTCTTGTCCTGAGATGTCCTGAGCTGCAATGGCCGAGTACTCCCTGTCCTGCCACATGCAACAGCAGTTGCAAAAGCTTTGCTCACTGGTAGGACCTGACCTGCTTCAAAGCCAGTTCCGGCTGCGGGTTGCCTCACTTTGTGCGGGCTTCGATGTTCTGCACATGGTCTTGCATGCTTTGATGCCGGACCTTGGGCCTGAGCAGCATCTTTTGACCATCAAGCAATATTTAAAACAAACTCATGGACAGGTCATGCAATGCATGTGTTGCATTGTGTTGCTTTGTGGATGCTGAGGAGTGGAACAATCAGAAGTTTCCAGCCATCCACTACATGCTTGCAGAACTGGATCGAAAAAAACGCAAACTGCTGTTGGCACGTAGGCTCCAGCCTGTCGCAGAGAATGTGTTCGGTGACATCTTTGACCTGCCTGGTCCTTGCTGGTGCTACAAGCAGGAAGCCCTGGTCACCCCCGAACGGCCCGATGTGATTGTGGCTGGATTTCCTTGCCAGGACTTATCTTTGCTCCGGCGGAGACAAGTGGCATTTGTGGAAGGTTCCACATCAGCTGACACTTTCAGAAAAATAGTTGCTCTTGCTGACGAGTGGAAGCCAGCCCTGGTAATTCTGGAAAACGTATATGCAGTCTTGCATCACCGGTCTTGTGACGATGGGGCCAGGCCTTGGGACACCATGTCACTCGGCTGCTGATGTACATTCATGTCCCAGCAGTCGAGGTTTAGGGTTTAGATACCCGAAGCGGCGCCCTCGGTTTGTGTCGTCCTTCGTGGCAATCAACCATTTCCTTTCGTAGCGAGAGCATTGCTTTAGGGTGTGGAGGGGGCGAGGTGGAGGTTCGTCCCCACATGTCCCCACAAGTGCCCAACACGCCACTTAAGGTCGGCGGACATTCTTTAGCTATTTTTAGCTAGACTCAAAAATATTCAAAGGCTCTGAATTTGTTTCTACTGGACATGTGGTTTTGGGCCGCACCATGCTGCACCCAGTGGGCTGTTGAAATACAGCTAAGATGCCATGAGATGGAGAAAGCAGGGTACTGTGGCAAAGCTGAAGTGCTGGATTCGAAAGACTGGCTACCTCAGAGACGCCGACGGGTTTATATGGTGTTCATGCTGGCCACGGTTTGTGGCCCCAAGAAGTTAGCTCTGGCTTTTGAGAATGTGGAGCACATCAGGGTGAAATTTGACAACCTGTCCGCGTTCTTGTGCCATTTGAATGCTGAGCAAGGACACCGCAGAAAACCGCAGCCGAAAGACTCCAAAAGAATGAAATGGCCCAAACGGACCTTGGAGTGGATCAAGAAGAAAAAGCTCTCCCACAAAGTCCTTGGACTATGTTTGCGCGGTCTGAAGGTTGGGCCATTGAGAAAAAAGTAAATCTACCATAATCTACCATAAGACTGTAGAACATCGTACAACATCGTCAAATATCGTCTAGATTTGAAAATATCAGCTTCCCACCGGTGTGCCTTGTGCTTCAGGCGAATCAACATTTTCGACGTTTGACCTGCCGCGCCCAGACCTTGCTCGTTGTGAAGTATGCTGAAATGGTACAGTGCAAGAAGTGGCTTGCATGCATCCGCTCTCAGTGTCACGTGTCACGGTTCAGTGAAGTGAGACGTTTGGAAATGTTTGGAACACATTCCAAGCCTGGACATGTGTTCAGCTGAGGGTGCAGCCTTTCCGTGCCACCGTCACCATCCAGCTGGACCAGAGCATTCATTTTGCACCAGCTTGTGTCGGTCAGATGATCCCTTGCATAACGCCCCATGGACTCTACTGGCACAGCTGCGCTGGACATGCATTTCTTCTTACACGTGAGCAAGCTGCAAGGCTTCAAGGTTTTGGTTCTTTGGAGTTGGCAGATATGTTGCCAGATGAGTTTTCCCATTTGGCACAGGACCTTGCCGGAAATGGTTTCACAGCACCAGTCATAGGGTGCCTGTTCTTGGCATGTCTGGCCGCAGTGTACAGCTAGACGGGTTATGGGCAGCCCTCGCCAGTGACATCCTGCTGAGGGGTTCAATAATGTTCACTATTCAGAATGTGGCATGTCAGCTAGAGACATCTTGAAACTAAGGTCGTGTAATGTCCTCTCCAATCTTCAGGGACGGCGTGGGCTGTTGGGTCAGATGCCAGTGATGGCAGATGAAGCAAACGGGGGTGTCAAAAAACTGCCATGTGATGCAAGCAAGGCCCAAGCCCCAGACTGAGCCCCAAACCCCCGCTGACCTGCAATCACTACACCCTGAATGCCAGATCCCAGGATCAAACCTTGAACTATCTTGAACTCCAGACCCTTGATGTGATAGACCCCAATTCAGTCTGAGCCATCCTGAGCTTTGACAACGACGCTGGAACCTTTCCAAAGCCCTGGCTAGGCCTTTCACACCACGGTGATTGCCTTCTGAGGCCAGAGGAAGTCTAAGGGATGTAAAGATTCAGGGTGTAAGGATGATGCTTGGGTGCATTTCAATCACTGCGGCTGTGTATGGCTGTGTCATTCATGATCCCATTCACAGCAGCCATTGACATCCGTTGACCATTTTGCGCCTACTAGAACACCTCGACGCATACCAGAGTGAGACAGACCTGACCAGCCACTGAGCAGGAGCTTCCACCGTGCGCGGCGATGCACCCTCCCCCCCACCCCCGCCCAACTTGGCCCAGCCACCGCACCACAAACCCACCCTTCGCCCAAGCCCGTGATCCCGTACTACTGAGTTCCCCGTTCCAAGCTGAAATATTATCTTCGCACCGTTGAATTCTCAACCGGTTGCGGATTGAACCTTGTGCACACCCCAAACCATGTTAAACACACTTCATACTTCCTTCTGAATGCTTATGTGAAATATTGTGAAATGCTGGTGCATTAAGCAAAACACGAAAATATACCAAAATGTACCATGATGTACCACGCGGGCTGCTGGTGCATTAAGCAAAACTTTGAGCCCGAAGTTTTTCACATATCTTTGGATGATTTGTGCATGTTGCCTTCATTCGTTTTAAGGCCCTTTTTTTGAAGATGTACGTTCCTGTTGACTTGTGTCCACCCCACCCCCTCCCCCCGCCTGGCGCCCCATAAACCTTTCCGCCGTAGTCCATCCATGTTTGTGCGTTCAAGGAAATCGCGCGGCGCTCCGCAGTCCGGATGCCACAGGACAGGGTTCCAGAAGTACCGTCATGTACCGTACCATGAAAAAGTAGTACCCTTTTTCTTTTCGGGAGGTTTCCATATAAACCCCTTTCAAAAACAAGTGCACCGTTTTTCATCCTAGGTTACTGGGCAGTCCAGGTTTAGAGTTATAAGGACTAGGATCTTTTGCAAAGCACCTCGAGGCCAACACGGTCAGTTCTATCGGGGGCTACATAGCACTTGTATGGAGGGTTTACGAAAATTGGGTATTTTGGGTCCGTATTATATGGGAATTTTATGATTTGGGGTATAAGAGGGGTACCGTATTTTTGCCAAATACCCATATCGGACTATATAGGGTTGAGTAGCAGCGCAGTTCTCTGATTGAGTGTGATCTGTTATAGTTGCGGCCGCTGATATTTGATATACCCCTCAACGGACCACTGATCTTATCTTGCAAGCCCCTGCAAAAATAGTTTTGTGGCAGGCTGCCTTCATTTGCGTTTCATTTGAGTAGAGCCTGCGCAGGCAGATGATGATGTGCAGAGCTGCTCGCAAGCGCCCTTGTCACCTGGCGCATGCGCCGACCTTGAAGCAGCTCTGCTGAAAGCACACCCCGAGCCTCTACCCCTGCAAATGGGTGTCCAGCAGCATTTTGGAGCTTTGATGTGGCACCTGGTGCGTGAAGTGCGCAATATCTTTGGTGATGTTTGGCCACGACACGTCGCCATCCTGACAAGCTCCAATGCGGAGTCGCTTCAGTTGATCAATGTGCAGACCCAGGCAAAATTGATCATTTCGGTCCTATGTACACAGAGCCATTGGGCTGTTCTCTTTTGCAGGCGGCACCAACAGAAGGCCGTGGTGGTGGACGGCCTTGCCAAGAAGGAAATCATGGACCAAGCCATGGCCATGATTTTGCATGTCGCTGATCATTGGCAAACCCAGCTCGAGCTCTCGGTAGCCAATGTCCCCAAACAGATTGATGGCTGGTCCTGCGCACACCGCGTCATAGCGGCCTCACGAGCAGCGCTGGCATTGTGCCTCCGTCATTCTGCAACATGGCCCCCAGAGCTGCCGCCGGCCATCTTTGACGAAGTCTCCCTACGTGGGCTGTGTCAATCCGACCCTGGCAAGGTCACTGGCAAAGAGCCAGCTGTGGAAGCAGCGCACAGGCAGGACGCAGGTGTTGGCAGTCCCGCCGGTCCCGGCACTGCTGCCCTGAAAAAGCGAGCAAGGACCCCAAGCAAGCAGCAAGAGGCGAATCAGAAACGACACAAAGTCCTGGCAGATTTGCATCAACACAAGCTATCCTTCAATGAAGGCTTCCAAGTGGTGCACTGGCGCAACCACGACGCCATTGGCAAGGGCCACTATCAACAATTTGTTGCAAGCATTGCAGATGGCTTGGCAGTGGAGTGTGGCAGCTGCCAGGAGTTGATGCAGCAGCTGTCACAGCGCCAGGCAGGTGTTGCTGAGACCCAGCCCATCGCAGATGCGACAGGAGCCACAGCCCCCGTCACTCACACGCCTGGGTTTGTTTCGTCACATGACTTGGTCACGCCTGCAGCCTCGGCTCCGGTGTACTCTGGACGAGGTCGTCCACACAAGGACCAGGGTTGTTGTGGCATGTTGTGGCCTCCAGGGCCAGCAGTGTTAAAGTTCTGGGCTGTGGGAAATCAATACTTTCATATACTAATACTGTCGTGAGTTTTCATGCCATGTGGTGACATGTGGCGAACAGGACTGCGTGGTACCAACACTGGATGGATGGCTTCAACAAGAACGGGCCGGGGTGTACAAGGCTACACATGCCACTTTCTTCTGGTGCAAAGCATGCGGCCACGAGGTGAACTTTTTCCGAAAGGGCATGTCAGGGCTCCAGAACGTCAAGGCTCATGAACGAAGAAATCAGCATCGCTTAGGGCTGCAGCGGGAAGGCCTCGAAACTGAGGGCTTGCTGAGAAACTGTCAAGGCATTCGCATAGGCACTGGCGTGGCACCGGAGTTGGACGACATTGAAGATGCCTTGCGTGTGTGGCAGAATGCTGGATTCCTGCAGACCTCCCATGAGGACCCCTCCGCGACCTCGCGACAGTTTTTCTTCTGTTTCCAAGGCGACAGCCTCATACTCAAATCTGAGAAATGTCTGCGTCTGTTTCGGCAAGGCGAGGCGTGCATGGCTTGCTTGGACACAGCTGCACACCGGGACCTTCGCCTCCAGGCCATCAAATGGACATCGAGGATACATCTGGCAAACTATGGCCATGCTCTGGCTCATGGCACAAGACAAGAACGCGCGCAGATGCGCGCGGAGCTCCGCTTGCGAGATGTGTACAAGACTCGGCCGGGATGTTTGGAGATTGAACCTATCCTCAAGGAGAAGCAGGAAGCCTACCAGCTGCAGTTGATTAAGCACCGCTGGCAGTCGATCCGCATGGACTGGCGCACAAGCCGGCTGCAGGCCTACATTGATGCGAACATTGCTACCCTTCCGCTGCAGGCTGCCAGAGAGGAACAACGAGATATCCTCAGGCTGGGCCCTCCATGCCCCTCCCACATTCGTGGGGTTGTGTAAAAACCCCGCGTGGTTGAATTTTGTAAGGACTTGCCCGTGGCGGTTGGGGTAGTGCGTGTAGCCTGTAAAATGACGCCAAATCAATGAAAACGGAGCCGGCTCACGGAAACATCGATTATCATCGATTCCAGCTTGTACTACAAACCAATGAAAACCCAGCCGGCTCACGGAAACATCGATTCCAGCACCAAGCTTGTGCTCCACATCAATGAAAACCCAGCCGGTTCACGGAAACATCGATTCCAGTACTAAGCTTGTACTACAAAGCAATGAAACGTCGGAAACACTGTAAAGCGAAAAGTAAGAAAAAAACGATAACGATGATAAGGGATGAGCAATTTATCACGGGGGTTTTTACAGCTCCTGTGGTTTAGGGCTTAGGGTTTAGGACACCCTGCAACAGGACACTCACCTCCAAGTTCGCCGACGCTGTGGAGGAGGGCACTGTGCGACAGGAGAACTTCGTGCTGGCCAGTCGCGTGGCATCGGGGGAGCTGGATGGTAATGCCGTGGTCTCATGCTTGCTGCGCAGCTTCATGCGGAAGCAGGAGCGTGCCAGCCGGGGCATTGTTCAGAACAGTGGGAAGCTGGTGGATGCAGAGACGCTGGCAGAACTTACTTACAGTTTCGGCAGGGGCCAGCCTGCCAAAGCCTTGCTGTCCTATTTCGGCATATCAGTGAAACCTGCCTCCATAAACTTCAACATCCCCACGCTCCCCATGTTTTTCATGGCCCACAAGTCTGCAGAGAAGCTTGCGAGGACAGGTGTTTTGCACATTTTGCACTGAGAGCCGTGGAGAGAGATTTAAGTTTGGGGTGCCAGGAATGAGGCCGAGTGCGTAGGGCGATGTATTCATATCTATTGCACTGTTGTGGCTGTCATCGGTTGTCAATCACAGGAACATGAGTGTGCTGGGTTCACTTCTCGATGTTCCACACCCTCGAGCTTGGTATCTGGCACTGGATGAAACGTATTGGCGACCAAGCCATGACCTTATCAGTGGCTTGGCTGGCAGCCGAGAGGTCTCCGTGCTTGGGGGATCGTGGGATCCATCGGAGGATCGGAGTGTTCTAGACCCGAAGCAACCCACCGAGAGCTCCCACTTATCCAAACTCACATTGGACGTTCTGGCATCTCGGACAGACTCAATGGCCCAGACCTGGCAGGTCCTCATGGTACCCATGCCTCAAGGAGCTGCAGACAAAGGCAGGATTTTCTTCGACCTGGTCGACAGGTTATTGGCCAGTGCTTGTGACACCTTTGGAGTGCCCCCCCTTGGTGTATGCTATGATGCTGGCACCTGCAACATGTTGCTCCACAGGACATTCCTTGAATTGGTTGAGGCAGAGGCTTTGGAGGGGACAAAGTTCTTTTCCCGTTGCACTGTCCACGGGTTCGCCGGCTTGCCATTCATCCCATACCATGTCCTGGCATGGGGAGAGCACAAGATGCTGTCCAGCTTGGACACATTACATGTCTTGAAGAGACTGACGCTGCATCACCACATGGCAGTCCGTACGGTCCACTATGGAGACCTGCCAGTGGATTTGGCAGTGCTCCTTGCAAGCGGTTGCTCCTTCAAAGCATTTGTGCTGCATGATCTCCAATCAGATCGCGAAGCATTGAACCGCTTGAATCCTGCCTGGCTTAAAAGCGGCTTTGCCAGCGCAGGTGCTCATGTGTACCAGTTCCTGTGCAGCTTGATCAGTGCTGCAACGGAAGGGAGTGATGGACTGACCTCCACACACATCTTCTTGAACGCGATGTCCGCATACTACCTGCTTCTTCTGAATCTGTGGAGTGCTCGTCACAAGTTCAAAGAGTCTTGGTCCCGTCATTTTTTGCCGCTGGCCACTGTCCGAAATTCATGCAGCCTGTGCGCACAGATTGCCGCCTTGTGTATATGGACTCCTGCCGGATGCTCGGTGAAGCCATCAAGGATGGCAGAAAAGATTTGTGAACACCACTATGGGCAGGTGAAATCATCATGGCAGGGCAGTCCATCCATCCGCGACGCGGTGCTGAGTGTGCAGAAAAAACACATCAGCCAGCTCAACTCCAAGTTGAGGGTGGACCCTGTACCTTTCAAGCCGATCCCCGAGGACGCCGCCAAAAACCTGGCTCAACGTGCTTTTGAACGATGCTGCCTCCTGCAGTCCTGGATCTCAGTGGGCTGGCCCCCGGAGGAAATCCGAGCATGCTTCAGCCAGTGGTACGTGGATGAGGGTCGGGCCATGCTGACAGGGTGCCAGCAAGCGCACTGGGATGCCAAGCTCGACGAGGATGACGAAACATTGGAGGCAGACCTGGAGGAGCTCATTGAAGCCGAGGGCGACCAGCCGGCAGAGCCGCCACAGCCATCTCCCTTGGAGCAGGTGCAGGGGTGCACGGACTACGTTCGCATCAAGTCAGAGATCAAGGCGGGGATGCTTGCCATGCAAGCAACCCTTTAAAAACCTACACGTAACATTTCCGTACATTACCGGACAACCCCTAAGCCCCTGGCACCTCACTATGGGTGGTTTGGATTACTTTGGTTTGGCCGAAGTAAGCCGATGTGATTTCTTGAAGTTTCTTGCTGAACCCCACCACATAGCCTCCGGGTGCTCCCTACACCCACGACACACGTCCTTAACCCTAAACACTGATATATCCGAATCCTGCAGCTTGAACGCTTGAACCTTGGAGAACCCAACCCAATGGGCCCTGGATTCACTGCAGGAGCTCACTGCGGGATTGAGCCACCCCGCCAGCGTGGCTTTGCCTCCCGAAATGGAAGCCGAGGAGAGGGGGGGGGAGGGAGGGGGAGAGACAAAGAGAGAAAGGGAGAGGGAAATTCAGAGTGGGGGGAGGATAGCACATGATATCACATGATAGCGCCAACAGCGCCCACGCGAGGGAATCCCCAGCTGATGCTACAGGGCACGTTTGTTACAGAATGCTGTGAGCATCTGTGAGCTCATGCTTCACCTCTACGATCACCTGCCATGCTGCCGGTTTTGCTTAATGCACCAGAAGACACACAAACATTGCTGCGTAGACGTCTCGCAGGACATTGTGGCGGCTCCTGTGAGCACTGAGTTTCCAGCAAGGGACACCATCGATGAGTTGATTGATTGCTTTTCGGGCCAGGAGCTCTTTCAGGTCAAAGCGGATGACACCAAACAACGAGCCATCCAGCGGGTGTCGCAATTGGAACCTCATTTGCGCGATTTCGTGCTGCGTGTGCGACTGCGTGAAGGGCATCTCTCAAAAGCCGTCCTGACCGGCACAACAAAATATGCGTCAGAATGGCATTTATCCACACATGAGCTGGCCAAGGCTCGAATGTACAGCATGGTGTCTGGGCAGAGGCAGTCTCGCGCAGCAGCTTGGTTCAACGTCCAGGCATCCATTTGCCCAGCCCCAGCAGCTGCAGGCCAGGCTAACTCCTGGAGTGTGCGGCCAGTACAGCGCTACAAGCCATACACAGCGGAGGACCTCCAGGTGCTTGTGTACACTGCTGCAGACAAGACCATCCAGCTTGGCGTCGTTTTGTGTGTGTACCGTGGAGCCATAGTCACCAGCAAGAAAGGGACTCGAAGCCTGAGGGCCTCGAAGCCATCAGCTGTGCCTCTCACCGGACATTTGTGCAAAGCTGTGCGGATTGCCCAACTCACACAGTACAGCACATCCAGCTTCTTTGCGTGCAATTTCAGCAACTTTGAACTGGTGGAGGTCCTCGGGCATGTGCATGCTGAGGCATGCCCACGTCGCAGTGATCGAGGGCTGGACCTGCTGCGAATGAGCTTCTCCTCAGAGGTCCTGGACGCTGTGCGCTACATCCAAAACAACCCAGCGTCACTGATGACGATCAAAGAGACAGGTGCAGCCCAGCCCGAGAAGGATTCCATTGTCGGCCCCAGGAATTTCGGTGCAGGGGACTTTGCAAGGAGCACGGCTGGGTGCAAGAATGTCGAGGATTGCCTGGCACTGCTTCCAAGTAAGTACCGGGAGGCGAAAATGGAGCTTCTCGACAAGGAGGGGTACATCCAGTGCGGTTCTGAGCGGTATCTTTGGACCTCCATCTGTAAGCGTGCACCAGAGTTCTATGATCAGAGATTCCAAGCACACTCCGGGCGGAACTATGGCAAACAGATCCTTTCACACCTCTTGCAATTGCTCCCAGAACAGCACGATGCCAACAACCGTGTCCGCCACTGGTCTGCCATGGTGGCAAAGGAGACACTGCCTCTGCCCCACACTCAGAATGCCTCGGGATTTATATACAGAGTCTCTGGCAGTTCTTGGAGTTTAGGGTTAGGGTTTAAGAGGGGAGCTGAGGCTTGAAAACTGTTGGGGCTAAGGGTGGAGTGCTGCTTCTACAAGCCTCTTATAAGGGACACCTCCCTAAACCCTAAACCCATTAGAGGGCCGTCGGGGTCTGGCCGAAAACCCTCAACCCCCAAGCCCTTCGAGGAGCTTTATGGGGCAACACACAGGACCATACAGGACCCTAGATAATCTACAACATTCATAACCCGTATATTTTAAAGGGCTTAGGGTTTAGGGTTGGGGTTTCAGGTAATTTGACTCGCCGTGCTCAGGTTTCCAGCGTCGTGAGATGTCGTGAGCTGTGGTGAGCTGTGGGATGCACTAAAGTCACTATACTTTTGTCCCCCCCCCTACTCAGATTTCTGCCACGCAGCACAGCTATCCCATACATTCCCATACTCACACAATCTCACATATGATCTCACAAGCTTCTTGGCATTTCTTGGCAGCGCAGACCCTAGTAGTGCTCACGTGGTAGGCTTGAAACGAAAGGGTTTGGGTTAGTACTGGAGCCGTCGCGGCAATGTATAGTGCCTGCTGCGACCGTGCTTGCAGTCAAGGCTGGACCGTGTCGACATGCTGGCTGTAGCATGCTGTAGCACTTTCACCTGTATTCACCCCATCACCCCAAGCCATCCCAAGCCAAAGTGGACATGTGTGAGGTGCAGTTCATGGGCCTCAGATTCTGCGAAGCTGCCGCTAAGAACCTTTTGAAACTAACAGGGCTCCAGCATGTCCGTGTGCGGCATCATGCCGCGTTGTAGCGTTGGGGAAAGATTACCGGGGAAACCGCACAGGATGATGCGCGCTGACGAGAAAAAATGTGAGTCAAGTGTCTGACGTTGGGAAGGTCTCAACTGCATTTTTCCCTTGAAGCATGCTGAATGAACGTCCGAAAAGGCGGATTGCACTTTTCAACCCCCCCCCCCTCGCGGACATGGGGGATGGAAACCCTAAATCAACAAGTTTACGGGCGAACTACGGGTTTTTATGGGTGAATTACGGGGTTTTACGGGCGTTTGGGGTGCTATTGCCGATCCCAACTGGAAAAAACAGTCCAAGATGCAACTGTAGTGGCACCCTCAACCCTAAACACCCTCACTACAAACCCTCAACCCTAAAACCCACCCTAAAAACCCTCAACCCTAAAAACCCTCAACCCTAAAATCCCTAAAAACCCTCAACCTAAAAGCCCTCAACCCTAAAACCCTCAACCCTAAAAACCCTCAACCCTAAAAACCATTAACCCTAAACACCCTCAACCCTAAACACCCTCAACCCTAAAAGTCCTCAACCCCAAGCACCCTCAACCCTAAAAACTCTCAATCCAAAACAGGGCTTCGGGAAAGGTTTGATTGTGGGTCGGATTTGACAGTTGGGCTCACCCAAGCATTCCTGTGTTCCGTCTCTAAACCCAAAACCCTTCAACCTCTGGAAGGGGACAAAGGTTCAGGCTCCGCTATAAGCTTGGTG